TCCAAAGGAGGAGCTCGGAGAGAGAGCACTTAAGCTGATATAAACTTGAACTCAAGAGAAGACAAAAACAGTAATAACAATCAAAAATACATGTGTGGCTCCATAGGTAGATAAGTACGCATATATGTATAAAGGAAGGAACATGAGCGTTTATGAGTGTGCTTGCATAGGTCTATCTGTAGGTATATGTACAAACATGTATGTGTGAATATATATTCATATACATATAGTACAGCATACAGGGGGAACAGTTACGGTATCTCTTCTCATTGCCACCAACTCAATTCTGACCCTATAGAGACCCGATAGGACAGGGTAGAACTGCCCCTGTGTTTTCCAGGCTGTACTCTTCACGGCAATAGAAAACTTTAGACCCAAACACCCCCCAGGAATGGTTTGCTGGGTTTGAAGGCATGGACTATAGTTGTCATGGGACGATGCAGTCAATGGGCATAACACACTCATGAAGATTATATTCTACATTACTGTTTGCTGAGTAGCACCTACGTCTTAAAAGCTTGCAAGCAGCCATGTAAGACATAACTATCGATCTCTACTTGCATTGGACAGAGAGAATGAAAATAACCCAAGGATCCAAGAAGAAACTGGTCCACTGGACTAAAAGCCCACATGACCCAAGGCCTCGTCGAGCCTAAGGTCAGAAGAAATAGATGGTGCCCGGCTACCACTACTGACTGTACTGACCAGGGACGTCATAGAATGTCACATAGAGAGACGGGTAAAAAAAATACAACAAAAATTTAATTCCTAAAAAGACCAGACTTACTGAACTAATAAAGACTAGAGGAACCCCAAGACGATCACCCTACAATATTCGTTGAACCTGGAACTGAAGTTACTCCCAGTGGTCACCTTTCAGCCAGCAATACATTGCCTTATAAAATACACAGTTATCAGCCCTGAGTGCTGTGCACCCCCAAATAAGCAATGTGATGGGGCTGGAAGGTCAGCGTTAACCCCAAAGCAAAGATGAGAAGGAGGAGGCAGGGAAGTTAGACTCCTGGGAACAAAACCAACAGAATGGGAACGAAAATGTTTGACACATTGTAAAAAATGTAACCAGTGTCCTGGAACTATTTGTATACAAATTGTCAAACAAGAAACTAGTTTGCTGTGTAAACTTTCACCTGAACAATCTTTTTTTTTGTTTCTTAAAGAGAGAGAGAAGACAGAATCCAAAGGTGGCTCGAAGAGGGAAGGGAAGGATAAAACAGATGTTGTTAGGTACCATCCAGCAGGTTCCACCCATAGGCACCCCTGTCCAATGAATGAAACCCTGCCGAGTCCTGCACCATCCTGACCATTGTTCTTAGGTTTGAATCCATTGTGGCAAGCATGGTGTCAATCACCTTCCTTTTTCTGCTGCCCCTCTACTTCGCCAAGCATGAGGCCCTCCAGGGACTGGGCTCTTCCGGTCACATGTCCAAAGTACGTCATGAAGTCTCACTACCCTTGCCTCTAAGCGGCATTCTGGCTGTACTTCCAAGACAGCCTATGGCACCTTCCATAGTCCTTAGGCAGCACCACTGTTCAAATGCATCAATTCTCCCTTGGTCTTCCTTATTCAATGACCGACTCCCACATGCACATGAGACAGTGATCCCAAAATATCAAACCCCGGGCTGTGGAGTTGATTCCAAGGTGTCGTCAGCCTACGGGGTAGACTAGAATGATTCCATAGGGTCTCCAAGGCTGTATGGAAGCATACTGCCGTGTCTTCCTCCCATGGGGTGGCTAGTAAGTTCGAACTGCCAAATTTCTGGTTAACAGCCAAGCACTTAACCACCGCACCCCCAGAACTTCTTGGAAAGACAGGAGGGAGGTAGAAAGATAAGTAAAAAGACATTCAGTAGTCTGCAGTACTGTGCACAAAAGGAAATAAGTGGAAACAACCCCGTGTCCACTGACAGAGGAACGGATAAGCAGAATGCGGTAACCCGTAAAGTGCAACCCGACTCAGCGATAAGTGACGGCGGACAGGCACCGTTGGTGTCATAGGCAACGTGTTGTACTGTATGTTCACTTTTCACAAGGATTGATTTTACATCATATGAACTTCATTTCCCCCCCACCCCAAAAGTTGAGAGTGCATGTGGTTAGGTGTATTACCTCCAACTCACTACCAACTACAAACCCATGTCCAGCAGAATAAAACATTGCCCTCTCCCTCACCAGTTTCTGATCTACATTTGAATCTGCTTTTGCTGCTGTCTTGTTTGGAGTGCATCCCAGTGGAATGGGGTGCAACTTCCGGCACGATACCGGATGATATTCTGACATAATCTGTAAGGTTGTCGCCGGCTGATTTGGGGAAGGGGATCGCCAGGCCTTTCTCCCTAGTCTTGGTCTGGAAGCTCGGCTGAAATCTGTCTAGCACGTGGTGACCCTGAAATTCCTGCTGCATCGGCTGACAGCCTCACAGCCACACCTCAACCCCCAGAGCTGGACACACAAGACAGAAGAGTGAGGGTGCAGCCAGGTGAGGGGGTTGAGATCACTGGGTCTGCTGCAGGGCAGGAAGTTGGAGGGGGGTGCTCAGAGAGGCATACCAGCCCCTCTGCTGGGGCCACACCGCTGGGCAGCACTAAGAAGGTGCTTGTTCCCAGCCAGGGGTGCAGTGAGAGGCCCAGTCAAGTGTGGCTAGGGGGAGGGGAGCGGGTGCTCTAGTTAAGCACTTCCTGGCCGTGGGGTTAAAAAGTTCACAGGAGAGGAAGAAGTCAGTAGCTGACTGACTGCTAACTGCCGGTTCCCAGGTTTGCGCTCTACTACCTTCCTCCCCATTGGGTGGGGGCTGGGCCCAAAGATCAAGGGTGTCCACCTAGGCTGTCAGGAGGCTGGGTCAGGTTACTAACGGAGTCCTTAAGGCTGGAAGATGGTTAGCTTTGATCTCCCACCTCCCTCAAGAGAACAAAGCCCTTCTCTGGAACTGATTAGGGACCTTCAGACGTCTGATGGGCCCTCCTGCCTCTCCTTCATGTACCCCTGGGCTCACTCCTGCCTGCTGACAGATCAGCTCAGAACCTTCATCCCCTGGCCGCTTCCTTCTATGACCAGGTGGTGAGGTCTGGAGGTCCTGACATGGCCTCAGAGCTGAGCTGAGGAAGCTGAGCTGATGGGAGGGGTGCCCTTTGACCTCAGAACCATTAGCACATTCACCTCTGGAGTTGGGCTAGAGTCTAGACCAGGGGTTCTCAACCTGTGGGTTGAAAGACCCTTTCACAGGGGTCACCCACTTCATAACAGTAGCAAAATGACAGTGATGAAGTGGGAACAAAAATAATTTTATGGTGGTGGTGGGGTGGTGTCACCGTATCATGAGAAACTGTATTAAAGGGTCACAGCATTAGAAAGGTTGAGAACCACTGTTCTGGCCCAACTAGACTGACAATTTGCCCCCCACCCTCCAAAGAAGGAAACTGAGGAAGGTAGGGGCCAGGCCTCGGCTGCCTCTGGAAAGAGGCCCTCCAGATGCACTCTAAGGAACCCTGGTAGCATTGTAGGTTAAGCACTGGTAGATGGTTCAAATCCACCAGCTGCTCTGGGGAAAGAAGACGAGGCCGTCTGCTCCATAGACTGATTTATTTTATTTTCTATTGGTTTTTGTTTATTTTACAATCAGTATGCCATTGTTTACCATTACAGTTGTAAACTTTCATTCTGCCCAGTCCCGTGGACTTTTGAGTCTCAAAAACCCTCAGTCCTCCGTCCTGCAAGGTCGCTGTGTCTCAGAATGGGCTGGGCAGCAGTGGGTGGGTTTGAGAGGCACCCTGTTTCCCAATCTATTATCTCTAGTGGCCCAGCCAGGCTGCCACTTGAGTTTCCAGGGTTAGTCATTTTGTCGGGAGTGGAGAAGCAGGGGGGTTGAAGGGCACAGAGCACTTCTCCTGCCTGGAGGCTGGGAGGGGGCATTCAGGAAGGCCCTCTTCAGGAGCTAGTGGTTGGTTTCATTACAGGGACATCATAGGCCCACACAGCAACATTCAGACACTTCTTCTGGGGAGGGGACGAGTGGACACTAATGATGGATGGACAATCCAGGGTACAGCCTGAAGGATGCCATCCACATCACCGAACTGTACGTGACTTCAAAGAGACAATGGGACTTTTCCGCCTTTTGAAGGTTCTTCATACTTGCCGAGGAGCCCTGATGTCATAAGAGTTGGGCTGCTCACCACAAGGTCGACAGTTTGAAACCACCAGCTGCTCCTTGGGAGAAAGATAAGCCTTTTCTACTCTGTAGAGCGTGAGTCTCGAAGCCCACCAGGGTAGTTCTACCCTGTCCTATAGGGTCGTCATGATCGAAATCAACGTGAAGACACTGAGCTTGGTTTGGGGTCATACTTGTGATAAACACTGGGATGATGTCGTGCTCGAATCCGATGTGTCTTTTCATCGTGGGAGCCCTGGGGCTGCAGTGGTGAAGAGCGTGGCTGCTACCCAAAAGGTCCGTGGCTCAAACTCAGCAGCTGCTCTGAGGGTGAAAAAAACGTGGCAGTCCACTTCTGTAAAGATGACAGCCTTGGGGACCCAAGGGGGCAGTTTTACTCTGTCTGTCCGGCAGGATTGTTCCGAGTCAGAATCAACTCAAAGGCAACCAATCTATTCCCCCACGGCATCGCAGCAGGAAAACACACGATAAAAACGAAAGAGTCAATGAAGCCTCCATACTTCTGGTCTCACCTCAACAATGCGCCTCCTTATTCCTGTGTTTTGGAGTCCCCTCGTGCACCACAGCTTCCAAAGAGTAGGCCCCGGGGAGGAGCTAAATGAGTCATCCTCACACTTGTTAGGTCTGAGCCCTTGGTTGCCACCACTGTGCTAATCCATATCATGGCCGTTGTGCTTCCTCTTTTTAGCCACCCTGGTACTTTACCAAACATTATGTCCTCGGCTTAGGTCGGACACAGCTGGATTCTCAAAGTGACATCTTTGCTCTTGAAGACTTTAAAGAAGCCTCCTACAACAGATGTGTCCAACACACTAGGTCCTTTGGCTTCTTCACAGCTGCTGCCACGAGCATGACCTGTGGACCCAAAGCAAGACGAAAGCCTTGGCAACTCCCATCTTTGTCCTGTTGAGATGTTTCTCAAGACTGTACCTGCATGACTGGAATCAAAAACCCAGAAACAAATTAAACCGTTACGTGCAGGTGAGGATGTGCAGAAAGTAGAACTCTCATTCCCTGCCGGCAGGAAACCGTTCTCCAGACGGCCTGGTAGTTCCTCAGAAAGTTAAACACGGAGTTGCCCTATGACCCAGCAATTCCACCCCTCGGTACAAAGGGAAGAAAACAGAAAACAGATGTCCACCCAGAAACACAGACATAGAAAATTCACAGCAGCACGGTTCACAACAGCCCCTAAGTGGAAAAATCTAAATGCCTACCACCTGATGCATGGAATCATACCATGAGGTCTAGCCATAGCATGGAGCATTACTGACCACATGAAGGAATGAAGTACTGACACGTGCTACAAGATGGCTGAGTCTTGAAAATATGTTGAGGGAAAGAAGCCAGACATAAAAAAGGTGAGCATCATATGTATCCTGTCACCATGCTTATTCAATCTTTATGCTCAGCGGATAATACAAGATTCTGGACTAGATGAAAAAGAACATAGCACAGCATTGGAGGAAGGTTATTACTATTATTAGCAACCCGTGATATACGGATGACACAACCAAGCTTGCTGAACAAGAAGATGGTTTGAGGCACCTGCTCATAGAGATCAAAGACTATAGCTTTCATAATTGATGATAACTCACAGTAAGGTAAATGAGAATCCTCACAATGGGACCAACAGACAATATCATGATGAACAGAGAAAAGATGGAAGCTGTTTAGGGTTCATTTTACTCAAATCCACAGTGAGCGCTCATGGAAGCAGCAGTCAAAAGAGATCAAACGACATATCACATTAGGCAAACCTTCTGCCTAAGACCTCTTTAACATGGTGAAGAGCGAATATGTCACTTTGAAGATTGAGGTGCACCTGACCCGAACCACGGTCATTTCAATCGCTCCAAAAACATGTAAAAGGTGAATGATGACGAAAGGAGGAGGAAAAAGACTCGCTGTATTAGAATGCTGAATGCACCGTGGACTGCTACAAGAACCAACAAATCTTAGAAGAAGTACAGCCAGAATGCTTCTTAGAAGTAAGGATGACGAGATTTTGTCTCACATACTTTCGATGCTGATGGGAGAGCCCAGTCCCTGGAGAAGGACATCATGCTTGGTGAAGTAGAAGGGCACTGTAAAAGAGGAAGGCCCGCAAGGAGGTGTCTCGACACAGTGGCTGCAACAATGGGCTCAAACAGAACCACAATGGTGAGG